GGCTGTAACAGAAATACCATTTTGCCCCTTGGGCTGTGATTTGATGTTGCAATAAATAAATAAATAAATAAATATGGATGTGATGTGTGGCTCCTCAAAGAGCCACATTGTCCTTTAAACTGGTTTGGTTTCCAAGAGCCCATCTATGCCCAAAGAGGAACCATAAAACTCACATGTTAGGAAAGTGTGAAGGCAAGAGGAGAAGGGGATGACAGAGGACAAGATGGCTGGACAGTGTCATCAAATCTACCAATATGAATGTGACCCAACTCCAGGAGGCAGTGGAAGACAGGAGAGCCTGGTGTGCTCTGGTCCATGGGGTCGGAGACGACTTAAACGCTAAACAACAAGAAAAGCCATGTGCTAACCAATCCATGATTCCAGATTCTTATATCTCCATGTATGTGATATCTCTGTGTTATTGCTTTATACTATGGTAAGCTGTGTAACTTTGCAGGAAATTGTAGGGCATTAAAAGTTATTAGAATTATAGGAGAAGCTGATATGAAAAAGAGAGTCAGAATGCATATAAAGCTTGAGTCCGGTCTCTGAACTGTGTCAAGCAACAGGAAGAGGTCTGTGGTTTGAACAACAGAACCAAGTTTGTGGCTAAGTCTGTCTACACAGGTTAGTTCTTGGCCCTGGGGCTTTCTGGTGGATCAGAGATATGCATACAGAAGAAGCTAAGCTAAGGAAACCACAAAATGCTGAACTTAGTAGAAACATATTGTTCTTAGGTAGAAATGATCCTACGTATCAAAGTAGGGAAGGAATACGGGCAAGGTTACTCCTGAAGGGTATAAGACTGCCTGTCATATGTGATTTTCGGTCTCCTCGCCTTATAGGGAACCAAGTTAGCTTGTATTGGTTGCATATTCCAAATAATATGGTGTTCTATCTTCTGGTTGTGTCTTGTTGATCTTCTGCTGGGGGGAACTTGCCTTTCAAGTGTCCAGGAGGAAGCTGACTGCTCACCAAAGAAGCATGTTGTTGTTTAGTCATTAAGTTGTGTCCGACTCTTAGTGACCCCATGGACCAGAGCAGGCCAGGCCCTCCTGTCTTCCACTGCCTCCCAGAGTTGGGTCAAATTCATGTTGGTTGCTTCAATGATGCATGCTGAGGCTTATTCAAAACATGTCAAACATGCCACGCAGGGAACAAAGGGTCCTTTTAAGAACATAAGAACGTAAGAAGAGCACTGCTGGATTAAGCCAATGGCCCATTTAATCCTACTTCTTGTATCTCACAGGGGGCCCACCAGATGCCTCTGGGAGCACACTAGATAGCTATCACCTGATGACCCTCCCCTTCATTTGACATTTTGAGGGTCCTTTGGGGGATTCCCTCCTCCTTTTAGGGGATTTGGGATGCTAATTTCCCTTTCTTCAGTGTAAACTGAATTGCTTGTAGCCTACAGTACTAGGATGCAAATAATATTGTCTGTAGTATTCATCAGTGGTTTAATTTGTGGCATGGTGTGTCATGGATGAAGTTGTAATCTCTCCTTCTATGTATTTGGAGGAAAATTCTAGTATATACTTCCACTGGGATAATTTCAAATATGGTTGTATACTGTAGAAGAAATGATCTGTTTAGAGCAGAAGAGGCTCACCATATCTTAACCCATCCTGACTTTAAAAAAAAAATATTGATCCATCTTGCAAGTTGTGTGCTGGTAATGTTTACTTTAACTCTTTCGAAGGCTTGTCTCACAGAAAAAGAAAAAGATTGGTGGTGTGATCAGTACTCATAGATCAATTGTGGTTTGAGGCTTTGGCCAAGAAAAGATCCAAAAGTGAAAATATTTAATTTTATTCCCATAATTCAACCAAGTAGCATCATAATTTCGATTCTGCCCAGTATGATATCTGAAAAAGCATAACTCAAGGGGAGCGAGTCTATCAACCCATTTATGGGCCCCAACAAAGACACCCACCACACCAGAGCCTTGTTTATGTTTTCATTTTCCATTGTGACTTCCACCATTCTGAACTGCTCCCTTCGTTCTATGTGGCCACTCCAGGCAGGGGCGGGAGGACAAGTCAGGCCATTATACAGTGGTGCCTTGCACAACGGGCGCCTCGTAGAGCGATGAATCCGCTCTACGTGGCCGGTTTTGCGATCGCAGATGTGATCTGGTAAATGAGGGAAGGGCGCGAAAACGCTCTGCGCAGCCATTTCGGCTGTTCCGGCGGCCATTTTGGACCCGCCGACCAGCTGATCTGTGATCTCGCTGCGGCCAAAATGGCCACGCGCAGCGTTTTCGCGCCCTCCCCTCGCTTACTGAGGGCGCGAAAATGGCTGCCGGACCCGGAAAAGGATCGCTGTACAGTGAGTTTTTGACCATTTGGAACGCATTAAACGCTGTTTAATGCGTTCCAATGGCTTTTTTTGATCTGTACAGCGATGCTTTCACACAGCGAGGGTTAATCCGGAACGGATTAACCTCGCTGTGCGAGGCACCACTGTACAACTCTTGAGCAGGAAGGCAGTGGACCTCCTGGGCCCATTGGCAGGAAGAGCAGGTGCTGGGACACATGAGTGGGACACATGAGGACAGGCTAGTCCAGGGGCTGGGCCCTCATTAGCTCCAGCTGGGACAGGTGCATCCCCATCTTTAGATACTGTATGAGTTTCATCCAGGAACCTTCCTAGCTTCTGATGGTCATCCTGAAGCACAAATTTGTACAGCAGAAAGGGGAGAAATTTAGCTTAGAGTGTGGTTACACTAGGGGGGAAAAAACCATATTTGAAGCTTCCTCTGACTTTTCTCTACAATCTCTCCAAGTATGGTAAAGATTGGTTTTCAGATGTATAAGTTCTACACTCACAAAAAGGCCTTCCCTACGAAAGCACATAGACTCACTAAAATTACAGAGAAGCTTCCACCGGCTCTCCTCTACAATTACTCCAATTTTGGTGAAGATTGGTTTCCCCTCGTAGCTCTTAAAGGTCATTTTCCTGGGGGGGGGCACCCTTTTTGGGTGAGTAAATTAGATGTCTGAAACCCAATCTTCATCAAACTTGGAGGGATCATAGAGGAGAATCAATAGAAGCTTCCCCGGGATTTTGATTTCTCTAGGTGCCTGGGGAAAACTGTCGTGGGGGCCCTTCTTGTCGGTTTATAACTCAGATGTCCAAAATCCAAACTTCACCAAATATTCAAGGATTGTAGAGGAGAGTCAGGAGGAGCTTTGCTGCATATTTAGTAGCTCTGGGTGCTGGACGGGGTTTTATAGGGGTTTAAAGTAGAAACTGAATTGACAAATCAATTCATCAGAAAAAAAAATCATAAATTCTTAATTGTGATTTGCCAACCTTGACAAATCTCAAATCAAACTGAATCACCATTTTCTGATTGGTCCCTATCTCTAATCAGGAGTGGAGAGATGCAAAGACTCCACCTGGTCTTTCTTCACTACAGACCAGATCCATCTCTGTCTCCAGATAAATATTAGCTCAGTATTCCAAGAGTATTAAATAAATGATCAAGATGTTGCTGTTATGTGCCCTGAAATCACTTCTGACTCACAGTGACTCAATGAATGAGTGATCTGCAAAATTAAGAACCAAATGGTGCTGTTAATGTGCTGTCAAGTTGCCTCCGACTTAGAGCAATCCCATGAAGGTCCATAATGTCCCATCCTCAACAGCCCCGCCCAGCTCTGCCAGAACAAGGCTGTGGCTTCCTTTAGGGAGTCAGCCCATGTCATATTTGGTCTTCCTTTTTTCTCTGATGAAAAATGTGAATTTGAAGTACAGTGGTGCCTCAACTTACGAACTTAATCCATTCCGGTCGTAACTCAAAATGGTCGTAAGCCAAAGTACCATTTTCCATAAGAATGCATTGAAATGCAATTAATCTGTTCCAGCTGAAGAAAAAAAATCAACTCTGCCCAAAAAGAACACAAAAAATCCCACACTGCAAGACCTATTGGAAATGTGATTAATCTGGCTGAAGGGGAGGGGAAAGCAAACAAACCGTGCAAGACCCATCGGAAATGCAAAAAAAAAAAAAAAGCAAAGCAGAAAGCAAACAAACCATGCAAGACCCATCGGAAATGCAAAAAAAGCAAAGCAGAAAGCAAGCAAACCCCACAAGACCCATTGGAAATGGGATGGGGGAAACCAAAAAGCAAACAACCCCCCCAAAACCCCTTGGAAATTGGGGGGGGACCCAAAACAAACAAATCCCGCAAACACCTTACCTTACTGGGCAGTCCAAAGCCTCTTCCAATTGCACTCACTCTAACTGTTGGGATGAAAGACCTACAAAGAAGCCGCCTCTTTGCCTACCAACGGTTAGCAATTTGAATTCCCTGCCTTTTTTTCCCTGCCTTTTTTGGTTGTAACTCGAAGCTCCGGCCACAAGTCAAGTCAAAATTTTGCAGCCGGAGCTGGTCGTAACTCGGAATGGTTGTAAGTCGGAGACGTTCATAAATCGAGGCACCCCTGTAGATTGGTATAGAAGAGCATGTGAAGTCTGGCGTGAATGAAAACGAGGTGGAGGAGAACAGGGGAGGTGCCCTTTCATGTTTTTGAACTCTTAATTCCTCAAATCTTCCAACAACACCAGGAACTGCAGCTTGTGAACCCAAATCTGCACAGCTGTGGGCTTGGGCCCCACAGGACAAGGGAGTTATTTACCTGCACCATCAGCCTCTTTGGCCTTTACTTCCTGTTGTGGATTTTTTAAAAAAAAAAAAGTTGCCGTGCTGTGCTTCCTAGGAATCATAAGACTTTGGGAGGTGCCATTCACAGAATCTGATGGGCAGTGTGACTACAGTGTGAGATTTTCTTCTTCTTGTTCTTTGTATCTACGAGGAGGGAATGGACAAAAAGATTTGCCATTTTGAACATGTCTCTCTTAGCATGTCTTCTTCATGACCATTTTTGGAAACAAGCACCATCCATTGGCCAGAGATCAAGAGCAGAGCAGAGCTGCTGACAGGTGGTCAGGGAAGAGGTGTCCCCCCCCCCGCACCAGTTTCCTGTGCGATTTGCTTCCTTTTCACCAAGAAGCGGTCAGTGCTGCTTGTCGTGCAGAGCTGAGCTTGATGTTCAGAGAAATACTTTGCCTTTCTGCCAATTATCAGCTCCCTTCTAAGGGGTCCCTAACAGGTACCAGGAGAAATGGAGGATGAGGAAGGCTACATGGCACTTAAAATCCGACCAAGGCAACACTACAGACAGAGTCCTCAACCTCAGAATCACGGTAGGTAAGAGCTTGTTTATTTATTTGAATTTGTTGCCCCTGAAGTATTGTGGAGCTCCGTAAAACACGTGCTGGTCAGCTGGTAGGCATTCTTGATTATAGTCTGCACAGCTCCTGGCAACTGCTTGCTCAGAGGCTGTGAGCCTTACAGCCCAAAACACCAGGAAAGCAGAAGGTTATCTATCTCTGACGAAACAAAAAGGATCCATCAGGTCTTCAGCTCTGTGTCTATACTGTATTCCTGCTCATTTGAGGACATCAGTGTTTGCCAGGTGTGTGGGAGAGAACGGAGTGAAATGTTCTGCTTACTTACATTTGGAGATGTGCGTTATTGAAGTCACTGGGATGTAACACTTTATCTGTTGGGCATGTGTGAGGGTTCGATCTTGGGATTAACTGTCTCCACAACAAAATCACGAGTCGTCTTCAACTTTAAACTAGGGGTCAGGTTTAGTGGGGTATTCAACAAAAAGTCCTTATCAAGTAAGTCATCCCACAATTTCTCTCCCATCGCCAATGGGTTGGATGGGGGTGTCCATTCTTTTTCAACCAACTTAGAGTCCTCAGCGTTATCCCAGGGTCTAGTCCAGTGGGGAACTCCATTTTCCCTCAGTAATTTGTCGGCTCTCTCATCAAGGAGTAGGATGGTTTCATCCTCGTCCGGCTGGTCATCTCGGATCTCTCTGGTCTCTCGAAAGGGGTTCCCTGCAGAAAACCCCTCCTCCTCACCTCCTCCACTCACCATTCTCTTCTTTCTCTCTCCTCCCGCTCAACTCTTTCCTTCTATTCCCTCAATCTTCTTCTCCACTCTCTTGATTCTGTTTCACCTCAATACAAAGGCGTTTGAGGGACCCCCCTCTTTCTATGATAGTCAGCCTCCTCTCTCAGCACATGCACACACTCCCATTTCCCGGAACATGGATCTTGTACCCAAACCATCTCCAACCCCCTGGTATCGGATCTTCCCTCCTTTTTATTTCAGCCAACCTTGCCTCAATCTCCACCCTCCTGGTCATTGGTATTCCTGCCAACTCATCCGGGGTTTATCCCACACATTTGTTCTTCCAAATCCCGGATATCAGTTCCCTTTCGAATAGTCTCTTTTGGTGGGTCTGTCAATGTGGTCTGTACCTCCCTCCTCATGTGGAACGGGCGGCACTCTGGCGAGAGCATCTTTACTCTCATCCTGGGTCTCACAGCATGGTCTGGGAAAACCCAAATTCAGATTCTCACACAATGATGACACTCATTGGTCGGCCATGGACCAAACCCCATCTGTCACCAGGCTTGTTGTGAAGGTGAAATAGGTATGGAAGAATGGAAAGAGAAGCAACTACGCCAAGCTTCTTCGATTAAAAAAGGAAGACTATTTGTTGAGATTGTTCTATGCTGTCAAGTTGCTTCCTATGATAAACATTCCAACAGGGTTTTTGAGATATGTAAGATGTTGAAGAGTAGCTTACAAATGCCACCCCACCCCTTGAGTTTCCATGACCCAGTGAAGATTTGAACTATGACTTCTTCTAGTCTGAAGTCTATCCACTATACCAACATGGCTCAAATATAAGAATATTTATTTAGTTCCCATAGGAACTAATGCAAAGCTGGTTAATACGTACTCTACCACTAGGGGGAGAATTTTTTTTAACCTAAGATGACCTAAGGTTAAAAAAAGAGCAGGAAAGGTTTTTTTCCCTGTTCTTATCTTGGATTTGTGTTCTCAAGTAGAAGCAAAATTTAGCAAATGGAGCTGTTCTTAAGTTGGATTGTTCTTAAGTAGGGACGTTCTTAAGTAGAGACCCCACTGTACCAACTTGACTCAAATATAAGAATATTTATTTTTAAAAATCTGAATGTGACCAATAAAGATAGCTCAGTGAACTGTTGCAAAACAGGGCTGTGATTAAAACATACAAATATAGCAAAACACTATAAGAAGGAGCATAAAAAAAACCTCTGTCAACTTCAGTGCCTTGCCTACTGTCATAGCCTTCTTCCTCCCTGATGCTTTATGGAGGCTGAGAGGCAGAAGATGATGACATTCACAAAGCACTATTATGTGGCCTGTTGGGTGGGATATCCTCTCCTTGGCCTTGGGGCTCAATAACTCTAGATATGCATTGAAAGTCATTCCTGTCCTGTGCCGTATAAGGCTCACAATATTCATTCTAAACAGTAGCCTTGCAGTGATATTTTATATAAAACCCAGAGGCTGAAGAGTTTTCTATGAACATTGGCTGTTACAGAAACTGTATCACACCATTGCCGATGCTGTCAGATCATTGCTGGGGTTGGAGGTGCTGTAATCCTGCTCCTGGTAGGAGCTGCCCTTGCTGGTATTTGTGGTAAGTAGTTCTAGCCCATACATTGCAGAAACTAACAAACTAACAACTAACAAGAAGTAATTGCAGCACTGGATATGTTGCCAGGATCATTCCTCTTCCACAGGTGAGCAGCAGCACTGGCCCTTGCTGGTATTTGTGGTAAGTAGTTCCTTTTCCACAGGTGAGCAGCAGCACTGCCATATTGAGATAGAGAGAGAGAGAGAGAGAGAGAGAGAGAGAGAGAGAGAGAATTTAGCATATTGTGTATTCGTAACCTGACTTTCTGGAGAGAGAGAGAGAGAGAGAGAGAGAGAGAATTAAGCATATTGTGTATTTGTAACCTGACTTTCTGTTCAGCCCAGAGGCCTGCTCTACCAAGCTGCAAGGTGACCTGACTTCGCATGAGAGAATACTGTCTCCTCAACATTCATGGCATGATAGAATCATAGAATAATGGAGTTGAAAGTGGCCTGTTAAGGCCATTGAGTCCAACCCTCTGCTCAATGCAGAAATGTGTTGAAATTGACACTGTCCATCTGGAAACTGCTTCCTGTCCTAGCTGCAGGATAGTGGCCTGTTCCACTGAGCTTTAGGGTAGAGCTACCCTTCATGGACTCAATGAGGCCATACAAACCATCCTTCTTCTTCAGCCCCCTCCAGTGGACTAGTCTACTGGCCCTGAGATTACAGTAGTTGGCAATGGTCTTTTCCTGTGTTGATAGACCATTCTACTGGGCCACTCTTGGAAGCCTGAGGGGACTGAATGTGTATGGGCCCTCATTTTGGCCCTGAGATTACAGTAGTTGGCAATGGTCTTTTCCTGTGTTGATAGACCATTCTACTGGGCCACTCTTGGAAGCCTGAGGGCACTGAATGTGAATGGGCCCTCATTTATTTTTTAAGTCAGTTGCACTGGTCTCCTCTCTTGCTCTAGTCTCTTATATCATCAACCCCTCCCTCCCTCCACCAGCCCTCTCCTCCCTCCCATTGATAACCTTGATTGTGGCTTCTATACCTAGTTAAGGTTTGTGTGAAGGCAAGATCACATCCACAGCAGAGGATGTGTGGGCACTTTGGGGGGGGGCAGGCAAGGCGAGGGCCACAAACTATCATCTGGGGGGCCGCAAATGGCCCCCGGGCCGCATCTAGTCTCTTATATCATCAACCCCTCCCTCCCTCCACCAGCCCTCTCCTCCCTCCCATTGATAACTTAACCTTAAATGTGGTTTCTATACCTAGTTAAGGTTTGTGTGAAGGCACAGACAGATCACATCCTTATTGTATGCTGATTTCATTGTGTTAACACAGTCTTCGCTGATTTAGTGCATATCCATTTTATACTCCATTTCATTGTCGCAGTATATAGTATTTACAGTAATAACCTCTAACTGGAGCCTTCGTCTCTATGAGTGTTTACACATCTTGCTTCATCATTGCCTGACACATATTGCTTCATCAACTTACTGCTTCATCAGTTATGATTCCTGTACCTGAGATTGGGAGACAAGGCCTGGGCCTGTGAAATTGCACCCTGAGGCCTGGCGCTCGGCCTCCCAGTTCACCCTGTGGTAATAATACTACCTTGAAATTTTGGCCCATAGTCCCCAAAGGTTGATGTTCTTCTGCTAGTTTACTTCCTCCCTACCAATAGTTCATAGTTTCCAATTTCCAGATCTCGGCCTCCTTGCCTCTTTGCACATAAATTCCAAATTTATATGTTTAGCTCGCCTGATCCTATGTGAGGAAGCACAGAATAAAAATCGAATAACCTTTGCTGATGATAGGGTAAGGTAGAAAATCTATGACTACTGCACAAGATCACAGTAGCTCAGGGCCGCTTATATCTAAAATAAGTGCCCCCTCAAGTGGTGAAGAAGGTCTAATTGTGATAACGTTGAAAGGCAAAGCATACAGGTACGTATCCTGTGGATTATATCTGGAATGTCAGCAAGACATTCTCTGCATGTCTTAATTCCAGAGATAGATGTACCAAAGCAAAACATTATGTGAGGGTAAAAACATTGTAAGATCAGGAAAAACGGATTTCCTGGAAGAGGAATAATTCACCACCATAATTCACCAGAACAGTAACACAATGTTCTTCTACCAGACTTTGAACATGGCCTGATTTTCTGAAGATGCTAATCACTTAAATACATTTTTGTCCTGCCAGTTTTTCAGTTGTGTGGATGTAATCTTGAGGATGCTCCAGAGAAAGGCCTTGTCTTCCAGAGATCCAGCAATGAAACAGAAGATAATTCACACTTGGACACTGTAACTAAATTAAGGACATTTTTCTGTAAGCCACTTGATGGCAGCACCACAGGTAAATTCAGTGTTTTCAGTGACATGGTTTAATCCACTGGTTCTTAACCTTTGTTATTCAGATGTTTTTGGACTGCAACTCCCAGAAGCCTTCACCGTCAGCTCTGCTGGCTGGGGTTTCTGGGAGTCGCAGTTCAAAAACACCTGAGTAACAAAGGTTAAGAACCACTGGTTTAATCCACACCTTATAACAGTTTGCCTAACATTTATCTCCTACATATTGTGAGGGTTTCCATGAAATTTAAAAATGTTCTCTAGACTCCAAGGTTATGAAAACGTCTGACTAGTAAATTCATATGAATGCCGTTAACTTTTATGTTTTTGTTCTATAACCTTGTCTTTTCTGAATACTGTATACATATTTTAGGGAGAAAAAAAAATTAAACATTTTTGTGAATGCTGTATCTCTCTGAGCCATGAGATGTTCCAAGATGGGTACTCTTGGGCTCAATTTCTCTCTGAGGAGAGAGCGCTCAGTGCTTATAGCATTTCTGTCCATCGTATGCACATAGCAACCTACCAGTTGAAAATGTGGAAGCCTTTTATTTATTTGTTTATTTTACTTTGGGGTATATGAACAATGAGGAAATGGAAGTGATTCAGACAATTGATCCATGTAAGTCAAGTACTGTTGGCACTCACGAACTCAATATCAGGCAGGAGCTTTTCCCAGCCATGGACTCACTGGTGATTCCAGAGAGAAAGCTCTGCTTTAACTGCAGTAGTGACTGGTGTCCATCATGGTGTGGTGAAAGGTGCAGCAGTCAATGGGGGGATGGAGCCAGGCATGAGAGGCAGAACTGAGGCAAAAGCAACCATTCATTGATGTACACGTATGTGCGTACACACACACACAGAGAGAGCCAGACATTATGATCAGCAAGCTAACTAGGAGTGGACTGGATAGAACAACTGTCAGGTGGACACACAGTTTGGCTACAGAGTCATACTCATAGGGTGATGATTAATGGCTCCTTCTCAAACTGGGTAACAAGTGGGGATACCCCAAACTCAAACTGGGAGGAGGTAACAAGTGGGGATACCCCAAGGCTCAGTCCTGGGCTGTGTGCTCTTCAATATTTTTATTAATGACCTGGATCAAGGGGTGCAGGGAACACTAATCAGGTTTGTGGATGACACAAAATTGGGTGGGTTAGCTAATACCCTGGAAGACAGGAAAAAAAATTCAAAATGATCAGGATAAGCTTGATAAGCTGAATATGAGCCAACAGTGTGACGTGGCTTTAAAAAGGCAAATGCTATTAATGCTTTAACAGAAGGGTAGTTTCCAAATCTTGATGGAAGACAGAAACAAAATTCAAAATGATCAGGATAAGCTTGAAAAGCTGAATATGAGCCAACAGGGTGACGTGACTTTAAAAAAGCAAATGCTTTTAATGCTTTAACAGAAGGGTAGTCTCCAAATCTTGAGGGGTACTAGTTCCCATCTCTTGGGCACTGGTTAGGCCTCATCTTGAGCACTTTGTCCAGTTCCGGACACTGCATTTCAAGAAGGATGCTGACCAATTGGAACGAGTACAGAAGAGGGCAACAAGGATGATCAGGGGCCTGGAAAACAAGCCCTCTGAGGAAAGACTGAAAGAACTGGACATGTTTAGCTTGAGAAAAGAAGACTCAGGTGTGATATAGGTTGTCATACAGGGGAGGGGCAGGGTCTGTTCTCTATCATTCCAGAGCACAGGGCCCACAACAATGGGCACAAGTTACAGGAAATCAGATTTCTGTTAAATATCAGGAAAACCCTTCTGTCAGAGCAGTACAACAGTGGAATCAAATACCTTGAGAGATGGTGAGTGCTCCAACACTGGAGGCATTCAAGAGAAATTTGGACAACCATCTGGCAGATATCCTTTGATCTGTATTCCTGCATCGAACAGGGGGTTGAATTTGATGGCCTTATAAGCCCCTTCCAACTTCATGATTCTACAATTCTGTTATTCACTCTCACTTCTTAAAATGTGCACAAGCTAAAATCCTTTTGTATAACTTATGCCAGCATAAGGTGAATGATGTCACCAGAAGCCGTAGAGTCCCTGTATCAATTCTGGATTGTTTGCAACATTGTCTCAATGTATGCAACTTACACATATCCCAGAATTGATGCAGGGACATTTTCATTAGTGGAAATCTGATACCAGTTAGGTCATTCTTTGTAATCCTTTGTAAATTATGTAACAGGATTTTGGCCACTGTTGGAGGGAAACTGACAATTTGCACAATTGAATAGCTTTAATTAGTGTTTTTCTTCTGATTTTTATTTAAACAGTGTGTTTCTAAATATCAGGTACCAGATTTCCTTTTCATAGCTGTGCCTTTGACTTTAGCATGACATTAATCCAAGTGTCTTTATTTTTCTTTCGTCTATTTCTTTTTTCATGACAGAATGTAGACTCTGCCCTGTCAACTGGCTTCCTCACAAGAGTAAGTGCTACTGGATCGCCAAAGAAAAACAATCCTGGCACAAGAGTCAAGAAGACTGCAGAGAAAAACATGCCCAAATGCTGGTGATAAAGAGCCAAGAAGAACAGGTAAAAGTTTCTGTCCCCCTAAAGTGCAGAAAGAAACTAGTGCAGGCTTGAGCACAATACTATCTTTTATGTGGGGGAAATATTATCCCGTAGAACAGTGGTCCCCAACCTTGGGCCTCCAGATGTTCTTGGACTTCAACTCCCAAAAATCCTGGCCAGTAGAGGTGGTGATGAAGGCTTCTGGGAGTTGCAGTCCAAGAACATCTGGAGGCCCAAGGTTGGAGACCACTGCCGTAGAAGACCCGACATCTTAGAAACTTTAATGGACCCTACCCTCAGGTTTGCTGGCTAACAAGCAGAGGATGGGAATTTCTGTCTTTGCATGAAACAATGGAGCAGGAAGTACCTTTGGGTGTAATCCAACAGACATTTGTCCCACTGTTTGGTCCTTTGGGGGTGGGGAATGGGCTGTTTCACTCCTTTTTCCAATGACCAGATGAAGAAATTGCTAGAATGAACCAGTCTGTCCCAAGAGTGTTCCTACTTTCATTCTTTTCTGGATCTCTCTCAAAAACTTCTGAGTTTTTTGTTTTGTTTTTGGTGCTGGTAGGATTGCTCCATTTTGGTTCATTTCCAGCATGTGTGATTGCTGGCATTGAACTAAAACAGATCTTGCTGCTTAAACTTCCCTTCCACTTCCAATTTCCGAATATTGTTAGATGACTTGAGATGATAGCTTAGCCATTTCATAATTTTGGGTAATTTAAAATGTCTTCTTCTACATTAAGGGTCACAGGACGGAAACAAAAGTTGTTATAGCTAAAGTGTCCCAGGTCACTAGAAAGAAGAGAAGAAGGGGCAAAGAGGGTTTTTGATTGTTTTTTGTTTGTTTTGGGTTTTTTCCCCATCAAGGAGGTAGGCCAGCTAGGATAGGTTGTGTTTGCCATTTGGATGCACAGATCACACCAAATGCCACACCAGACCTCTACTGATCTTAAATTACCATATTTAGTCCAATCCAGCCAACTCCAACTGAGCCTATGCAGACAAGTCTTGGATGCCATTGTCAATTTAGATCTCAACAAGTCATCGTAATTTGCCTATGTAGACTGCTGACATGTGAACTCTGTGAGATCAGAAGAGAATCTGTAGATTCGCCCCATGGCAGATGTTACTCTCCATGGAGAAGAGTTTTCTTGTTTGCGTGCAGCTCAGACAGCAAAGGTAAAGGTTCCCCTTGACAGTTAGTCCAGTTGTGTCCAAAAAGCCTTTGAGAATACATTGTCTGGGAATAATTTGATTCATTTGAAGGAGGAGAGCATTGCTGATACTCTGCATTGCCAGAAGACAAGTAAGTGGACCCTAGATCAAATCAAGCCTAAACTATCTCAAGAGGCAAAAATGATGAAACTGATGCTATACTACATTGGGCACATTGTGAGAAGGAAGGGGTGTCTGAAAAAAGACAATAATGGTAGGAAAGATGGAAGGCAGCAGGAAAAGAGGAAATGAAAAAGATGAGATAGATTGACTTCCCAAAGAAACCACAGCCTTGAGGGTGCAAGAACCGAGCAGGGCTGTTGAGGACAGAACGTTTTGGAAATCATTCATTCATAGGATTGCCCTAAGTTGGAGGCAACATGATGACATTTAACAACAAGCTGCTCTCTCAGTTTTAATATGTTTTAAAATATATTTTCTATTTCTAATTTTGTAGTTTGTGTCCTATCCACTTGCCTTTTACTTTGGTGACCATAAATAATGAAAGGTTTCCTTTCAAAGATCTAATGACTGTTTAGCACATCATCAGTTCTCCACTCTCTCCTCTGACACCTGATTAATCATTCCTAGATGAATGAAAGAGGCTTCCACAAGAATAGGCTTCTGTTCCCTAGAGGCAGTTCATATTATAAGAGGTCCTCCTTCTGTCAAAATATGGGAGTCAAAAGAGGTAGATTTGGGGATAATGGATTTTCTCCTCTTTCAGAAATGCCTTATGTAGTCTTACTCTGAACAATGCCATATCCATGATTCATTTATGACATATAATAGGCTTGCTTTCTCCAAATTCCCAGAGGTCCTTCTGTTCTTACTTATGTTGAATGCCTAGAAAGGGTGTGTGCTTTGGAGATAGTAGGCTGGCATTAGAAGAACACACTTGATGAGATGCAGCATGTGTAGAATGTTGGTATACTAAATCCAAGATAACAGAAGATTGCACCATCTTCCTTACACCCTTTTCCAGTTCCACAAAGAGTGCAATCAAACCAACCAGAGGTCCTTCTGTTCTTACTTATGTTGAATGCCTAGAAAGGGTGTGTGCTTTGGAGATAGTAGGCTGGCATTAGAAGAACACACTTGATGAGATGCAGCATGTGTAGAATGTTGGTATACTAAATCCAAGATAACAGAAGATTGCACCATCTTCCTTACACCCTTTTCCAGTTCCACAAAGAGTGCAATCAAACCAACCATTGAAAGCATTCCTTACACCTTTTTCCAGTTCCACAAAGCGTGCAATCAAACCAACCCTTGAAAGCATCACAGTATTTCTGTTTCAGTGTTGTTGTTTTTAAAGCTAGGACGAAATCGAGTCAAAGATGTGGTTTTCTATGTTTTCATGTTGTATTTTGTTTCAGTGTTGTTGTTTTTAAAGCTAGGACAAAAGCAAGTCTATGTGACTACAAAGATGTAGTTTTCTATGTTTTCATGTTGTATTTTTCTACTTGCAGAGCTTCATATGGAAGATGATTAGTGAAGGAAAAAAACTTCCATGGCTTGGACTTAAAACCACATCCTCTGGAGGCAACTGGTCCTGGATAGATGGCTCCCCATTAAATGACACAATGTGAGTATTTCCTCCTTTAGTTCACAGAGATTTTGGCTGGGAATGTTTGCTTTGCACTGCCAGTGCTGTCTAATCAACAGCTATATTCAGCTTCAGTCTGCTTGAGAGAATATGTGAAGATGACACAGGTGCAAGGGTCTAGTTCAAATCATTAGATTGTACAAACTGATATACAGTGCCCCACTAGACGATTCCCTCGCAAAACGACAAATCCGCATGACAATGAGTTTTTACGATTAAAACGACAAATCCGCATGACAATGAGTTTCTGAGATTGCTATAGCGCTTTGCAAAACTGTTTCCTATGGGCGATTTTCGCTATACGATGTTTCGGATCGTGCTTCGCAAGACTTTTTTTTTCAGGACCGATTTTCACAAGACAACGATTTTAACAGCTGATCAGTGCTACGCAAAATGGGTGTTTTCGGGACCGATGCTTCGCAAGAGAGTGATTTTAACAGCTGATCGGCGCTTCACAAAATGGCTTCCCTATGGTCGATTTTCGCAAAACGACGACGATTTGTCCCCATTGGAATGCATTAAACGGATTTCAGTGCATTCCAATGCGGAATCGCATTTCGCAAGACAATGTTTTTACAGGACAGTGATTTCAATGGAATAGATTAACATCGTCTTGTGGGGCACCACTGTATTCTACTGTAATACTTGAAACTTTTACACTGGTAGAACTGCCACCACCTTGGTTGCTCAGTCAATGCTCAGTCCCAAAGAAATGACAGGCCTCCAGGCTACTCCCCAACCTATGCCAATGCTGGGCATCCTTATCTACAGGAATCCAAAGCTCCAGGTACTGAGATAGTTATCTGGTAGCTTGGCTGAGCAGCTAGGACTGGAGGTAGCTGTTATCATGTTCCTTAATCACTTAAGACCAACACTGGCTGACCTATTAAAAATATAGGATGTTTATTAAAAATAAAGATTTGATTACATATGATTTAAAGAAGGCAATATAGGTATAAATAGAAAGGAACATCAGCAATTTTGAAGCAATTATAAAAACACATAAGAGACAAAACTTCCAAAACAACGCCACTCAAAATATACTTCCTGCTCTGGCTAACCCTTTCTCTCACCTGGTTCTTGGGGGTGGGAAGGGAACGGCATTCCATGTCTAGTCGCGCTGGCCACGTGACCACGGAAGATTGTCTTCAGACAAAACGCTAGCTCTATGGGTTGGAAACGGGGATGAGCACCGCCCCCTAGGGTCGGACACGATTGGACAAAAATTGTCAAGGGGAACCTTTACCTAGCCCACAGACTACCTGCAATCAGACGGTCAATTCCCAAATCAAAAGCCACCCTCCTTCTTATTATCCAGGAGGAGATTGTTATTTAATCCAAATGCTGGAGCCAAAGAACATTTGGGAAAGCTACATCACCTTCTGGGTACTAACGGTCACTTACTCATGACCCCTCCCAGCTGGAGAAGCACAGCTGCACCGGTAAGCCATTAGATGTCCTCCTTCCAGCTATTCTGACTTGCTTAGCAGTTGCTGGCAATATAATATAGGAACTTTCCCAACTTCCAGGATGGGGCGGAGGAATAATTGATGCTGCTTGAACATACACAGGGAATGAACTCAGGTCTGATCTTACTCTGAGCATCACATCTACAAAAGAAGATCACACAACATTTTTAATTGAAACTCTTACTCTGAGCATCACATCTACAAAAGATCACACAACATTTTTAATAGATGAATTCACTCTACGGGGACGTTTTTTCGATCGCTAATGTGACTCGCCGATCAGCTGTTCCGTGGCTACAAAATGGCCGCCGGAAGCCCCAAAATGGCCGTGTGCAGCGTTTTTGCGCCCTCGTTAAGCGAGGGGAGGGCGCGAAAATGGCTGCCGGCCATAGGGAAGCATCACTGAACGGTGAGTATTCAGCCCAATTGGAATGCATTAAACCATGTTTAATGCGTTCCAATGGCTTTTCCTGCCCCGTTCAATGATGCTTTCACACAGCGATGGTTAATCCGGAACGGATTAACCTCGCTGTGCGAGGCACCACTGTTTTAAAATTGCATTTTAATTGTTCTATCTTTTTATTGTATTTAATTTGTTGTAAGCCGCCCAGAGACCCTTGTGTAGTGTGGGCGGCATATAAGTTAAATTAAACAAACAAACAAACAAACAAACAGGATCTCTCAAACAATTTTGAATGTATAGTAAAATGGAAGCCAGCTCAAAAGAAGAATGTTGTTTGCTTAATATTTCACAAGGACAGCAGCTCCCAAACAACTTGGAAAAACTCAGCTACATAATTAAAGAAAAGACACATTTGCTACCTTCAAAACCCATAATAAGCACAGTTGTGTGCTCTCATATGTGTTCAGTCTTCATGGAGTTCTATATTGATGGATTGATTTTATTTATTTAAACTATTCTTAGGATTAGTCCCTGCTGATAACCATGATTCAAAATGGATCACAGATGTTACACTTTCCAATACACTTTAATTAAAAAGAAGGAAGCTCTTTCTCCTCTCATCCAACTCCTGTTTCTTCCCAAGAACCACGACCAATTCCAGACTCTCCTTTCCTATTGTGACATCTACCACCTGTGGGGCAAGAGTTGTGTGCAAGCCCTTCATCTGTTGCAGAGACAACTATAGGTGCCTGCAGTATATTTGTAGACACTCATGGACTGTTATATGTGAAACGGCTTGCTTGTAGAAAACCAGCTCATATAAACAAACCTATAAAGTGAATGATGCAACATGTGAGAATAGTCTTGATATCAGTGCTTTCTCTTTTGTTCTGCAGGTTGCAGTCATTAGGTATTGCAGAACCGAACAGCTGTGGGATGCTGAAGAACAACCAGATTACTTCACAAGCCTGCGGTGCCCTCGCAGAGTGGATCTGTGAGACTGGAGCTCTTCTGGTGTAAATAACAAAATGGAAAAATGAACCGTTGGGACAAAACACCAACATAGAGTCAACATAAGTTCTGAAATCATTATGTGGTAGGACTGTACAGCCATTTCAGGACTGGATTTGGATCTTACCAATATGCATATCCAAGAGGAAATGACAGCAATATAGCTCCAAGTCACAGTTCCCGAACCCCTGGTCCACAGCCCAGTGCCGGTCCATGGCCTGAGCCGGATCGGGCTGCGGAGACAGACCTTCCACCCCCCGCATGCACTCCGCTCCCCACGGCTGCTTTGCACACATGCGTGGGTGCCAGCACCAGTGTGAGTGCTCCCCCACCCCTTCACACATGCACCCGTGAGCTCCCACGCAAGTGCAGGTGTGGGGTACCCTGCCTTCCTCAGAGGTTCAGCTGGTCCACGGTCCTAAAAAAGTTGGGGACTGCTGCTTTGGATCACAGGAGCCTTGCCCCAAAAGAGGACTCTTCTTCCCACAGTGCACAGAGTCGGCAGTGAGTCGTTTCCAGGCCGTATGGCCCCATGGGATTTGCAGTCTCTTTTTCCGCCATTTTACTCCTCTCAGTGCAAAGGCACCCATAGGGAGCCCCCAACTCCCATGCTGCCTCGCGCTTGTGCCTTGAAGGCCCTGATGGAGGATTGTTATTCTGGTGGCCCAGCCCCCTGAAGACTCCTCTTAGTGTTTAAAGACGGCGGCTACGGCCACGGAAGGAGGAGGAGGAGAAACAGGAGCAGGAGGAGGCAGCAGCCCGCTTCCCTGGCCGGCCTGATGGGTGCCGTGCGCAGGGCACAGGAGCCGGGAGTTGCATGCGGGTCTCCCTCCTGGCACCACTCTTGCTGCTGTGGGCCGCTTTGGGGGTAAGCGAGCGGTCCATGGTGGGGGACGCCACCCTGGGGAGCCTCCTGAGCCTCAGCAGGAGCTGGTGTCACCTACAGGGCCTGTTGAGCGACAGCAACGGCAGTGAGGAACAGCCAGCGAGGTTTCTTGCAGCGAATGCTGGCATGTGGCTCCTTGGAGGTGGTAGCGGAGGAGGAGAGGTGGCAGCTGGAGCATTAGGGGATCCTCTCTGCCTCCTTTGCCTCAGTGATGTGGGGTCTTGCCCGTCTCAGCCCACCCCTTCCTGAAGTGGGTCTGCAACAGCCTGTGTGGGGGCCAAGCAGTAGTCGCTGCCAGCCAGGAAAGCAGAGCAGAGCAGAAGGCAGCAGAGAGGGTGTCCAGGCAGCCCTCCTTCCCCCACATCCAGCCCCCCAATAGTCCTGGTTGCTTGGCATGCAGGGGTGCAGGACAGTGAGGCCATGGCGATGTTTGAGGGCACAGCCAGAAGTGGGGAGGGGGACTCTGGAAAGGGCTGCCACTTAGGCAGTCCTGTGCCTGCCATCCCTCTGGGTCCCCAACCCTTCATTCCCAGAGATTGCTAACAATGATTAGAATGAACACAGACACAGTCCTACATAAAAGTGAATGAAAAATAAAGTTGTGATAAACTGTCAAAAATAAGGCTTTCAATTACTTAATAATATTTGTCCATGATATGGAAAATAAACATCCACTGTAATGTGCCATCCAGTTGCTTGCAACTTACAGTGGATATAAAAAGTTTGCACACCCCTCTTAAACTGTCAAGTCTCTGTGATGTAAGAAAAGTAGACAAAGATAAATCATTTCAGAACTTTTTCCACCTTTAATGAGATCTATGAACTATACAACTCAGTTAACAACAAACTGAAATCTTTTAGTTGGAAGGAAATAAAAATAAAAAACTGAAATAATATGGTTGCAAATCTAATGCTTTGTTGAAGCACCTTTTGATTAAATACAGTACTTAGCCCTTTTGGGTATGAGTCTACGGTCAACCCTCAGCTTACAAACAGCACTAGTTATGAACATTTCAACTTACAAACCGCTCCATTGGAAAAAATTGGCATCAACTTGTGAATGGAGCATAGACCTACAAACGAGGCTTCGTCCGTAAGACGATGCCAACAGAATGATCGGTGCCTTCAGAGCTCTCAAAGGGCTTCCTCCAATGTTGGGGGGGCGGAGCCATTTGAGACCTCTGAAGCCAGAAAGGTAGGGCAAAAGGGCAGGAAATGCAAATTTCCTGCCCTTTTCCCCTGCCTTTTTGCCTTCGGAGCTCTCAAATAATTTTCCGACCAACATCAGAGGAAGCGCTTTGAAAGCTCCAAAGGGGTGGGCTGAGACTGAGATTGCGGCGGCGGGGACTCCCAGGGAGGTCTCCCATAGTGGCAGGCACGATCAGCAGCTTTGGAGCTCTCAAAGGGCTTTCCCCTGACATCAGAGGAAGCTTTTGAAAGCTCCAAAGCGTCTACTCCCTGGGAAAGCCTGGGGAGTAGACTGGGCCTACTGGGGCAAAGCCCTCCCCTGGTAGGCCCGGTCTACCAGGCTTTTCCTGAGGAGTAGACCTGAGGGCTTCCCCTGGTAGGCCCGGTCTACTCCCTGGGAAAGCCTGGGGAGTAGACTGGGCCTACTGGGGCAAAGCCCTCCCCTGGTAGGCCCGGTCTACCAGGCTTTTCCTGAGGAGTAGACCTGAGGGCTTCCCCTGGTAGGCCCGGTCTACTCCCTGGGAAAGCCTGGGGAGTAGACTGGGCCTACTGGGGCAAAGCCCTCCCCTGGTAGGCCCGGTCTACCAGGCTTTTCCTGAGGAGTAGACCTGAGGGCTTCCCCTGGTAGGCCCGGTCTACTCCCTGGGAAAGCCTGGGGAGTAGACTGGGCCTACTGGGGCAAAGCCCTCCCCTGGTAGGCCCGGTCTACCAGGCTTTTCCTGAGGAGTAGACCTGAGGGCTTCCTCTGGTAGGCCCGGTCTACTCCCTGGGAAAGTCTGAAGGCACCGAACACGGTAGCGGGGGACCCCCGGGTGGTCTCCGATGGCGGTGAAGCCTTGGGAGCTTCCCTGCCGCCACCGCTTGCCCCTGGACACGCGGAGGCAGCGGAGCACCAGCAGGCTTTGGACTGGTAAGTCCTTTTAAAAAAAACTTTTCTGTGTGGGTTTTGGAGGGTGGGTTTGGACTTGTGTGTGTGTGTGTGTGTGTGTGTGTGTTTTGCAGTCCCAGCGTGGGATTTGCTCTTTTTATTTTGGCATTTTTTTTGAAATGCTGGAATGGATTAATTCATTTCCCATGCATTTCAATGGGAAATGGTACTTTGACTTACGAACTTTTCGATGTGCGAACGTCCTTCCAGAACGGATTAAGTTTGTAAGTCGAGGATTGACTGTATCATCTTGACTTGGCAATATTTGCCCACTCTTCCTTGCAAAAATGCTCCAAATCTGTCAGATTGCAAGGATGTCTCCTGTGCACAGCCTTCGACAGATCACCCCACAGATATTCAATTGAATTCACGTCTGGGCTCTGGCTGGGCCATTCCACAATGATAATTTTCTTCTGGTGAAGCCATTCCTTTGTTGATTTGGATGTATGCTTTGGGCCTTTGTCATGCTGAAAGATGAAGTTCCTCATGTTCAGCTTTCTAGCAGAAGCCTAAAGGTTTTGTGCCAATATTGACTGGTATTTGGAACTGTTCATAATTCCCTCTACCTTGAATAATGTCCCTGTCCCAGCTGAAGAATAACAACCCCAAAGCATGATGCTGCCACCATCATGTTTCACTGTGGGTATGGTGTTCTTTTGGTGATGTGCAGTGTTGTTTTTGCGCCAAACATATCTTTTGGAATTAGGGCTGAAAAGTTCAACCTTGGTTTCATCAGACCATAGCACTTTTCCCCACATACTTTTGGGATATTTCAGATGTGTTGTTGCAAAATTTAGCCAGACTTGGATGTTTTTCTTCATAAGAAAAGGTTTCCGTCTTGCCACTCTACCCCATAGCCCAGACATATGAAGACTACGGGAGATTGTTGTCACATGTACCACACAGCCAGTACTTGCCAGATATTCCTTTAATGTTGCTGTAGGCCTCTTGGCACCCTGACCAATTTTCTTGTAGTCTTTTCATCACTTTTGCAGGGACGTCCAGTTCATGGTAATGTCACTCTTGTGCCATATTTTCTCCACTTGATGACTGTCTTCACTGTGTTCCATAGTACAGTATATCTAATGCCTTGGAAATTCTTTTCTACCCTTCTCCTGACTGATACCTTTTAACAAGGAGATCCCTCTGATGCTTTGGAAGCTCTCTGCTCACCATGGCTTCTGCTGTAGGATGTGACCAAGAAAATGTCAGAAAAGACCTACTAGCACAGCTGATCATTTTTGGGATTCCTCAGAGGCACTTTAAATGATGGCATAACATACTACTGCATAACAAGTATTCCCATGCATGGACACTCCCGCCTCCACATTCATGAACACTGGAGGCAGCAGCCCTCCTCCGGTCCTTGGAAGAATGGTCTTCAACAAAACCAGTCCATGGCATTAAAAAGGTTCGGGACCACTGCTCTACATGACATCCCTTCAAATATTTAAACATGGCTAAACAGGGTATTTTGAATTGTGGTGCTGGAGGAGACTCTTCAAAGTCCCCTCAACTGCAAAGAGAACGAACCTGTCCATTTTGAAGGAAATCAACCCTGAGAGCTCACTGTGTGGCTTCAGGACAGATCCTGAAGCTGAGGCTCCAATACTTTGGCCATCTGATGAGAAGAGAAGACTTCCTGGAAAAGACCCTGATGTTGGGAAAGTGTGAAGGCAAGAGGAGAAGGGGACGACAGAGGACGAGATGGTTGGACAGTGTCCTCAAAGCTACCAAAATGAATTTGACCCAACTCCGGGAGGCAGTGGAAGACAGGAGGGCCTGGCGTGTTCTGGTCCATGGGGTCACGAAGCGTCGGACATGACTTAATGACTAAACAACAACAAAACATGGTCTCTTTTGCTGCTGGGTACCCCTCTTGTTTGATCATCTTTCTCATTTACTTTGGCTGTTCCGACACATCCGGTTTGCTGCACATCCAACGGAATGTTGTTCTACACCTGGCTGAAATGGCTCTGAATTCATTGTCCAAATAAGCACAATCTCCTCCATCGCCACGAACCTCCAACCTGAAACACAAACCAGAGTCACAAAAGGATGCACCGTTTTTTCACCCTTTGGAAAACAGACCCAGTGATATCTTAGGAGAGGGTGGTTCACAAGATGGAAAACATACACTTAGAAAAGCCTTGAAACAAAAGGAAGGAGAATGTCGGGTGATGACTAAATTTGAAGAAATTATTGAAAAAAGGGAGAATTGAAGGGAGCAATAAGCAAAGAGAAGTGATAATAAGTGTAATATGTAAGATGTTAGTAGAGGGTGAACGTAAAATAACAGCCCTGAAAGAGATATGGCAAGGAGGCATAAAATAAAGAAATCAGTGGCTAAGTACGTATGGAAAAAGATATGGGGGAAAAGAATAATGAAAAATATGTCTGTTAGGGTAAATGAACAGAACAGAACAAGCTTTACTGTTTAAAACCGTAGGCAACCACAATATCAACAGCAACACAAAACTGCACTGACGCCATATACAGTGGTGCCTCACATAACGATGTTAATTGGTTCCAAAAAAATCAACGTTGTGTGAAACATCGTTCTGTGAAACACCATTTCCCATAGGAATGCATTGAAAACCGGTTAATCCGTTCCAATTGGAACAGATTGCCATCGCTGAGTGAAAATCCCCATAGGAAACATCGCTGTGTGAAACAATGTTTCCTTCATTGGAACCATCTAATGGTTTCCAATGGAGAAAATTCAAAAAATCATCATAAATTAACGAAGTGTCAGAACAACACCAAAATCAGTTTGCATAGGTTTCAGGAGGCGGGCTAACCATTGCAATCATTTAAAACAGCTTCCAAACATTGTAAGACATTTTTACAGGAGCGAAAAGGGAGATTGTTGTGTGAAAATCCCCCATAGGAAACATCGCTGTATAATTAGTTCCTGTAGGAAATCAGAGTATGCTTGCAATGATATGGGAGGAAATATGCGTCTAGGGTTACTAATATTTTAACCTTCAAGAAAACATTAAGAAGAGGTGGTAGTAATGGTATTTTAATTTCTGTTTTCAACTGAAGATGTATGTTGGGCTGAAGACTAGAGCAAGTAGCAGATGAATGCAATTAAAGTAAAGAAAATATGAAAAATAAACATGACTGCAGCACTTCCTTGTAGTAAAGCACCGTCATATTTAAAATGGAATAACTGATTCAATCTTGACTTTTAAACAAAATGGACTGTGCTAAATGAATGGATATTTCAGAAGTGAGACTCAACGACAGAGAAGGCTTTAGTTCTTTTTTTAACCATCTTAGTTAAAAAGTATGTGTGTGGGTGCTTTGAACAGGCTTTCAAGAGCAGGGATGGGCAATTTCAGCTGTTGCCGGTGCCAGTTCCCCACCCTAAAATTTTCTGAGGAGCCATAAATATTTGTAAGCATTACAGTGGTGCCTCGCTTTACGATTGCCCCCATTACGACAAAACCGCATTACAGCGATCTTTTTGCGATCGCAAAACGATGGTCTAAATGGGTTTTTTCCCGCTTTGCGGTGATTCTTCGCAAAACGACATTTTTTAAACAGCTGATCGGCGGTTTCAAAATGGCCATCGGGTAAACAAAATGGCTTCCCGCTGTTTTCTGGGATGGATTCCTCACAAGACAGGCAGCGAAAATGGCTGCCCTATGGAGGATCTTCGCTGGACGGTGAGTTTTGACCCCATTGGAACGCACTGAAGGAACGCCCACTATTTCAATGGGGATTTTCCGCATTACGATGTTTTTGCTTAACGGCAACGACAATTTTCCTGGAATGGATTATCAACGTTAAGCAAGGGACCACTGTATTTATTTATTTATTTATTTGATTTATATCCCGCCCATCTGGTATATTTATACCACTCTGAGCAGCTAACAACAGGATATATACAATTATAATAATATAAAACAAAAAAATCAGTTATTAACAAAACATACCAAAAATCATAAATGATAGATAGATAAGGAAGAGAAAATTAAATTATATTAGATTAAATGCTGGCGGGAGGGAAGGCCTGGACATAAAGCCATATTTTTAGTTGAATTTTAAATGTACCCAGCATAGGGGCCATGCGAATCTCAGGAGGGAGATTGTTCCAAAGGCGAGGAGCCATCGCTGAGAAGGCCTGGTTTCACATCTTTTCCCTCCGGGCCTCCCTCGGCGTCAGGCTCCTCAGTGTCACCTCCTGGCTCGCGCGGGTGGTCTGGGTAGATCTTGATGGGAGAAGGCGATCCGCCAAGTATCGAGGTCCCAAACCGTTTAGGGCCTTATAAGTGAGCATTAAAACTTTGAAGTCGATACGGAAATGGATGGGCAGCCAGTGCAGTCTAGCCAGAATAGGAGAAATGTCTGGCTGCTGCATTCTGCACCATCTGAAGTTTCCGTATCAGCCTCAAAGGCAGCCCCACGTAGAGCGCGTTGCAGTGATCGAATCTTGAGATTACAAGCGCGTGCACTAAGGTAGTGAGTGCCCCCGTGTCGAGATAGGGCCGCTGCCGGGCAATCCGCCAAAGGTGGAAAAAGGCAGAGCGGACAACCGACGCCACCTGTGTTTCCATGGTGAGCTTTGGGTCCAGATGTATGCCCAAGCTGCGGACCCCACTCATCGGAGCCAGGGTCGCCCCCCCCCAAACGTGAGCCAACCAAGCCACCCCCCTGGGGGCCCCC